TATCAGATGAAACATTTTCTGAAAAGGTATGTTGAAGGCACTTCATCATAAAAGTTTAATTATATTAATTAGCAAAAACCTCTTGGTTTGCTTGAGAAAGAAAACTGGTACCCAAGGAAGAAACAAGGATTACCTCAGTTTTGATTTTCTTAAATGTATTGAGTATGTAAATATTTGCCTACATCATCCAATCGGGTTAACATATAACAACAGCATATTTACTATTTACTTTGTTTAAAATGACTTTTTTCACAGACTGGCAATGGACTTTACAAACAGTAATGAATGTAAGTAAATGCAAAAGTGTACCTTCTATAATTTAAACTATGGTTTAAGAAAAAAATACATACTTCTAAAAAATATAGTCATCATGAACTCTAAAAGGTAATTCTCCTTATCTCCTCATTTTGTTCCCCCTACTCACATTAAAAAAATATTTTGTGATTTATTTTTAGAGAGAGGGCAAAGAAGGGAGGAAAAAGGAAACATCAATGTGTGGTTGCCTCTTGTGAGTCCCTTAATGGGGACCTGGCCTGCAAGCTAGGCATGTGTCCTAACTGGGAATCAAACCAGAGACCTTTGATTCACAGGCTAGCACTCAATCCACTGAGCCACACTAGCCATGGCATATTTTCATATTGGTGTATAAAATCCTTTTCACCAAGATAAGCCAGTGTTTATTTACTTGAGCACATATATAGTATGATCCTCTGGAAAAAAAGATAATTGATACTTGACATGGTCTTGAAGAATGGGAAATAAAATTCTGAAATCTTCAACTGGGAAGTAATAGTATCTTATAAGTTTCTGCAAGCAGTTAATATTTCAATGGTAGTATATAAGAAATGAAGTCTCCTTGCTGTTTTATCCCTTTGCCATATGGAAAATATCCAAATATATAATAAATTTTCCTGGTTGGTCAACAGAATTATTGTTAGTCTTGAAAACTAATACTTTCCTCATCTCTCTGAAACATTCATCTAATCAAAAAATGTATTGCCTTAACCAGTGTGGCTCAGCTGGTTGAAGCATCATCTCAAAAGGTTGAGGGTTCGATTCCCAGTGAGGGCACATGCGTATGTGGCAGGTGTGATGTCCAGTCCGGGGGCATATGGTTGGGAATCAATTGATGTCTCTCACATCATTGTATTTTTCTCTCCCTTTCTCTCCCTCGAAAAAGCAGTGAAAAAAACGTCCTCAGGCATGGATAAGAAAATATTTTTCAAATGCCCTTAATACTACTCAGCAAAGGTATGTTGTTTCATTGATTTCATTAAAGATGGTTACTGAGAAAGGGTAGGAGCTTAAGGCTAAATCAAAGAAAGAGGCATATGGGTATTACTTAAAAAATATATTTTTATGGGAAAGGAAAAAAAATACTCCCTTAATTCATCTCTGGTTACTGAAAGGTTGGCACAGATAACTTCTGTGTTGAAGGTTTAAATAGCTATCACAGCGTTTCATACATTTAAACTTGAATTGAAAAGCTTTCTTGTCTCCAAAAGAAAAATAGTCATATATTACTTACATAGTAATTACAGGCTATGCAGCTGCCCTACAAAGCTTTACTATAAATGTGTTAAGAGTGAACCACTACACAAACCTCATTCAAATTACATTAAATGTGAAGCCAAAGAAATGCCATCCTCCACACCACTCCTCACAATTGCTCACACAAGAACAATGGCCATCTCCCTGGTCTGAGACCTAAAATAATGTAATAGAATCGATGTTGTTTATTTAGGCTATGGTTGGTTAAAAGTCATTTCTGTTATTCCTCACTGAGTAAAGAGGTCTCTTTCCCCCTCACTATGCATAAGTGAAGATTATGCTAATGCACCCAAATGTAAGAATGAATAAGCTTCTTTAAAAATACCATTTAAAGATTGAGAATTCAAGAAAAAGTACATGCCATCTATCATGATAAAAATACTGACCTCAATTTCTATATTTCACTGATCCTTGCTTTAAGCCTTTCTAACATACAATTTAAAGCTTACACAGCATTTCCATTTGGTTATTACTTTAAAAATATTTAGCTGGTCACACAAAGCACTGCAGTACTCCCATACCAGGAACGGAAGAATCAGGAGCCTGAACATATAAAAATGTTCTAAGAAAGGTTAGCAGGGCTAAGATTTCTTAGTTTCAACCTTATCTTTGGAGGACTGTATTTCACACATTCTAGACACGGAGTTTTAATGCCTTTGTTTGATTTGTATGTATTATTTGAACCTTATAGCAAATGGACTTGTCAAGATTTGGAGAATATTACAGCAACTAAAGTTGTCAGGTTTATGACCTAACACCTAGAGCAGTGATTTTCAACTTTTTTTCCCATCTCATGGAATACATCAACTAAATATTAAAATTCTGTGGTATACCAAACAACATTTTTTGCCAATGTGTCAAAAAACAGGTATAATTTTGATTCACTCACACTGGACAGCTATTGTTGTACTGGCTGTTGTCATTTTTTTACTTGATACTCTCAGGGAAAAGAGGTCAGTGCTCTTGGTCACACCGTCAGGTACCACATGTTTTAAAACTTGTTGCAGCACACTGGTCGAAAATCACTGACTTAGAGCAATATAGGAACAAATCAAACTATGTTTAAGTTTTAGTTTAGCTTAATTCAAAGACACAGGCCCTTTAAAATGCAATATACTCTTATACTTCTTGTTTTTGAAGTCTTTGTCAACTGGATAGTGTTTAAGCATTAAAAACTGCAAGATCACCATGTAGATATCATGTAACCCTCAATGTCATGTAACCCTTGATATCAAGGGATAAAAAAGGCATTCTCTGGGGCTCTCATCCTAAAATCCCACAAACTCAGTCTAGTCATGACAAAACACTAGGCAAACCCCATTTTAGGGATACCTGGCCAGTAGGCTTGATGACTGCCAAGGTCATAATGACAAGGAAATACTGAAAACCTGTCCTAGGCCAGAGAGGACTGGGAAAACATGCCAACTAAATGTAGTACCTTATGATATTCAACTAATTAAATACCCTTGACAGAATCCTGGAGAAGAAATAAGACATTAATGAAAAAAATGGTGAAATCAAAATAATATAAAAATACATATTATATATTAGCATTTGTTCACTAGGAATGAGAAGAGTTTCATAGCAATGAAAAATGTTAACAATAGGGAAGAATAGGTATAGGGTATATAGGAATTATCTGTATTATCTTTGTAACTTTTCTACAAATCCAGAGTTATTCCAAAGTGAGGGGATTTTTGTTGATGTCTGGTTGGTTGTTTTTAACAAGGCTATTTACTCCCAGTAATTGAAAATTGACCTATATTTACACCAGGCTAAATTTTGTTATATAATTAGTCTCTTAATTCTAAATCTTAGAAGATATCATCCTTTAAAAATTATGTATTATGTGCTTTCAAATATCAGGAAAAGTACTGATTATACAGAGAGGATGAATACTAAGAACTCAACTCCATAAATTCTTATTACTTGAAATTTTTTTATTTACTGATGAGAGAGAGAAAGAGTGAGAGAGACAGAAATTTATTGTTCCACTATTGTGTATTCATTGCTTGATTCTTATATGTGTCCTGATCAGGGATCAAACCTGCAACCCTGGCACATTGGGATGATGCTCCAGCCAACTGAACTACCCTGCCAGGGCTCACTACTTACTACTTTTTAACCTGCTTCTCCACTGAGAAGGCACGAGGAGCCTCACATTCATAAACTTCTCCCAATAACCATCCTTTAAAATTAGATGTTTGACAGTGAAGTGACAAAAGAAACACAGAGGCAACTTGCCCCACTAGTTAGGCTGAATAATTAACTGAATTCAAATTTTCACTTATCTTCCTATAGTTTGCAAAAAAACCTCTAACTTACTACTTAACATGTTTGGTCAATTTGAAGCTGGTGCTGCTGATTGTATTTGTTTAGAGGGTATAGTATCATAGACCTAAGGATATATAAAACTGAGATACTGAAATGAAGTTATAAATCCAGGAATTGATAGCAGTGCCAGTGAAAGCACATAAAAGGCAAATGACTTCTCTGAAAGCATGTTTATTTTCAGTCGGTTGAATGAAAACTAATTTCTTTTTTTATGAACAAAATAGAAAAAAGCAGAAAGTGAAATTTTATGATTGTAGTACATGTGATGGCTATAGTTTCAGAACCTAGGCCTCAGAGGAAGGCAAAACAAATCTTAAAACTAGACTTGCTCATTATATAGAAAAAGCAAACACTTGATTATTTATTTGATCATAAAGGGCAAGGTCTTGGAAAAATTTAGACAAAAATTTTAAATTCATTTTTATCAATGATGATGAGCATTTTTGGACTTACCCTAGAGAGCTGATAGACTGGTTTTGGGGGCCTGGTGAAAGAACAAGAGAAAAGAGATAGAGGACAGATTCTCCATGAAGATATGGCAGGTGAAGAAGTGACGCAGAAAGTCCCTCAGTGAGAAATTCCCTATGAGGAGAGTGATGTTAACTCAGCTACTTGCTGCTTTTCAGGACTGTGTTGAACAAGATCTCTCCCTTACTCTAGACCCTCTAGTCAGCTGCCACCAGCAGGCTTGCATTAGGGATTCTCAGGGCAGTGAGGGAAGGCACACACTGCCCAGTGTGGGCTGAGGCATCATGGCAACAGAGCAGTAGTTGCAGGAGGCAATTGGAATGGGTAGGCAAGTACTGGGCAGCAATAGAATGACAGACCCCGTAAGGGATCATGCAAAAGAATGCGAGTGAGGAATGTTGAGAGTCAGGGATACTCGATGAAATGGAGGATCAGGTATTTATGGGAAAATTCAGTTAAAGAGTGACATCAGGACCTGGAAGACTTCAGCATATAAAATAGCAACTATGTGGCTCACATGCAAAAATCACATATGTGAAAATTATACACCAAGATCTAAGAGTGTTTGTGGTGCAGTTGGGGCTATTTTTTCTTTCCTGATTATTCAGTGATTATCTAACAAATCTCCAGTTATGGGATGGTCTTACCTTCCTCTGGGCAAGTCTGCATCATCCTTCTTCCACCGCACAGTTGGTTGAGGGTCTCCCTGGACTTGACAACGAAATTCTACAGCTTCTTCCTCCAGCACCACCTGGTTAATTGGCCTCCTGAGAAATGTGGGTCGTTCTTAAGAGAAAAAAAAGTAAAATAAAATAAATATCATGCATATTTTAAGTACAACATGGAAAAAGCATAGGAAAATTGTGGTTTACTTTTGGTACATAGGTACTTAACTCTGTATCTCAGCTATATCTTGAAAAGAACTTATAAATACAATGTAATTAAATTCAATAAATATTATGAAACACAGAAATAGCTATGGCATGTATGTAAAACTATATAAACTTTTGGGAAAAATAATAAATTGATTCTTCAGTGCATTATTAAGCTAAATCATGTAGACCCTATCATAAAAAATCTAAACATTGAATTCCACAGCAATGAGGAAAGATGTAAAAATGGTTATTTTAATCTATTACAATGGTTCAAAATGGAAAAGCTAGAAGCTGAAACTAATGAAAAATATCAAAAAGGAAACACATTAATATTCCATTAGGAATGCTAGAGAAAACAAAAAGAGTTGTGTTTTTGCAGATAAGCATTATTTAAATTTCCCCAGGTAGGCTATCATTTAAAAAGGACCCAATACTTCCATGAATGTTCTCATTTCATGTATGGAAAGCTGTCTATGAGATTTCTGTTTTTTTTTTAATTAAAAAAAAACCTGTCAAACTGATTCATTTCTTAAATAAAAAAGCATTCATTTTTAATTATTTTAAACTTACTGTCATATATACTTTTCCAAGGTCACTTCCAATGATCTTCTCCTAAGTGTTCCCAATGTTTGCCATTTTTTTCTTTACTTAACCTTTATGTTTATTTCTCTTGTATTCTGCTTCAGTGTTTCTGTCCTTTATCCCTTTGTTGTTAATTTGTACCTAGCATTATTAATCTGCATTCTAGCACTGCTCTATAGAAAGCTAGGAAAAAATATCTGCCCATAAGAATCTTAACATATAGAGAAATACAAAACAAAAAGTAGTTTTACATTTCTCTGAATACTTCAATTCTTTGTCTAATTTCTTTCCTTTTAGATAATTGTCAAATTATGATCATGTAAATTACCATCAATAAAACAACACACAACATGTGTTGCCAAGGATGTGGAGAAAGGGGAAGCATTCTGCACTCTTGGTGGGAATGCAGACTGGTGCAGATGCTGTGGAAAGCAGTATGGAGATATCCACCAAAATTAAAAATCTTCCTTTTGACCTAGCAATCTCACTGCTGGGAACATATGCAAAGGAACCCAAAAACACTAATTCAAAAGAATATAAGCACCTCTGTGTTCACTGCAGCATTATTTACAATCTCTAAGATATCAAAGCAGCCAAAGTGCCCATCAGTAGATGAGTGGATAAAACAACTATGTGACATTCACACAATGGAATACTATTTGGCCATAAAAAGAAGAAAATTTTACCCTTCTTAATACTATGGATGGATCTGGAGAACATCATGCTAAGTGAAAGAAGCCAGTCAGAGAAAGGCAAATGCCACATGATTTCACATGTGGAATCTAATGAACAAACTGAACTAACAAGCAAAACAGAGACAGATTCATAGATGGAGAACAGGTGACAGCTAGTTGGTGGGAGGGGTGGAGAGGGAGGTTAGAGGGTGGAGGGATTGAGCAAAAAGGAAAAAGGACTCATGGACATGGACAACAGCATAGTGATTGCTGCGGGTGGGAGTGGGTATAATGGGACTATGTAAGTAATGGAAAAAATACAAGAAAGATTAAATTTTAAAAAGTAAAGAATCTCACCTTATAAGAGAAATATAAAACAAAAGGTAGTTTCATATTTCTCTAAACACTTAAATTCCTTGTCTAATTTCTTCCCTTTTGATAACTGTCAAATTATGATAGTTTAAATTACCATTTAAATTTTGTTAGCACGTCTGCAAATCATAAAAAATCCCAAAATGGTGCCAGTTATTGAAGTAGAAAGAAAAGTCAAAGGAAAGAAAGGTGAAACCCATAGGACTTGACCAGTTTATCTGGCTCTATTTAGACATTTAGGAATTTAGTTTCAAACACAATTTAAGAATGTGAATATAGTGCCATAAAAACTGAAACATATTTAATGAGAAAACTTCAAAGAAAATAAATCATTACAAATAATGTATGTTAAGAATGTAGAGTGAAAATGTATGACTTTATTGACTAAAGATCCATATTTATAAAACAAATGTATAAATTAGAAGCTGGCATTTTATTGCAATAAAGCCAACCATCATTGGTAGTCAGAAGGAAGGCAATCATATCTCTCTATGATGAAGGTGACAATTGAGATGAAAATTTTCTTTTTTTTTTAAATATAATTTAACAATTCTTTTTTTTTTTCATTTTTTTAAGATTTTATTTATTTATTTATTTTTAGAGAGGCGGGGGAGAGAGAGAGAGAGAGAGAGAGAGAGAGAGAGAGAGAGAGAGAAACATCAATGTGCAGTTGCTGGGGGTTATGGCCTGCAACCCGGGCATGTACCCTGGCTGGGAATCGAACCTGGGACACTTTGATTCCCAGCCTGCACTCAATCCACTGAGCTATGCCAGCCAGGGTGAAAATTTTCTTTAAAACACAGACATACATATGCTCCAGGAGCTGTATTTAATATCCCAACCACAGTCATAAAACAAGGCAAATAAGATTTTTTTATCATGAAGAGTGTTCTAATGCAAAATTTAGAACTAATCCACAAAAATGTGGGAATAGGAACAGAGGACTTGTGGGCATGGACGTGGGGTGGGGATTGACTGTGGGAGCAGGGTGGGGGGGATCGGCAGGGGAGAGCAATGGGGAAAAAGGTGTGACAACTTTAACTGAACAACAATAAAAATTTGCTACTACTAATTTTAGGTAGGAGAATAAATTAGCAGCTAAGTGTGCTCCCTTCACAACAGAAAAAATCTGCATGTTGGATAGAAGGATTTAGTGTTTTCCTTTTGAACTCTGGACACTATGTGCTCCAAACAACTATTTTCATGCTGGCGTAGTTGATACTGAGTGATTGTTTTTGGCAGCAAATAGGCAATAGGATCAATATCTCCTATGAGTGCTAGGAATGTTATTAACAAAAATGAATAATTAGTTTAGATCACAAAGTTGACTTTCTCTTTGCCATCCTTTGGAGATGTTCATTCAATCTAACAGCTGCAATAGCCCAATGTTAAAAAAGAGCTAAGCCACTTGTGATATCACTCGAGATTGACAAATAATCTGGGGATATTTAACTACAAGCTGGCCTAGGACAGATGAATGAGCTGAGAGGAAGTCTTTCCCTTATCTACTCATTTGTGCAGATCATGTTAATACAGCTGCTCCTAGGCCAGGCTTTAAGTCTGGTAGCTGGTGAAAAACCAGCAGCATGGTCTCATCAAAAAGGCAGTAGGAGATAAAGCTGGTCAAGACCATGAAGAATCTTGTATGCCATGTCAAGAAAAAATGAGTTCTGCCCTGAAGCTGATGGAGAGTTGTTGAAGAATTTTAGGTAAGACAGCAACATTTTGAATAAGGCTATGATAAAAAAGGTCATTTTGGCAGATCTGTGAAAGATGAATTAGAAGAGGAAATATAAAACAGTGAATTGGGTCACACTATCACTGTAAGAAATTATTTCAGCTTAGAATGTGGTTCTGGGGATATGGAAAAGGGAACAGAATAAAGAGATATCAGAACTGGGTGATTAATCAGAAGGAGATGCTGAAGAGAAAAAGTCTAAAAAGATACTCAAGTTTCCATGTAGAAAACTGGAAGAACTGTTGGGGATAGATGGGGTACGTGTATGCATGTATGTGCGCATGTGTATCCTTTTACTATAGAAATGGTAGCTGTGACAACCTGAACCCTTTATGCTTAAGCCATCATTATTCAGGATTTTGTTACCTGAAGTCAAATGCATTCTCAGATAAAAAGATATAGAAGATGTCTTACATAAAAGAGAGGAAAAGAAAAATAAAAATGTTTACTTTTGTAGGTATAGAAAAGCTCTTACATTAAATATTCAAAATGAAGAAGGAATCAAAAGAAACTTCCTAAGCATGATGAAGATACTCTATCAGAAGTTAAATGTAAAATTGTTTTAAAAGTAAAACTCTAAAGTCAAACCAGGAACAAGTTAAAATCAGGAACAAGATGGACATGCTGACATTAGTAATCAATTAAGACATAGAAGAAAACTGTGTGTATTAGAGAAGAACCAAAATAATTATTACTTGCAGACACTGCAAATACAGAAGAATAACTTTGATAATTGTTAAATGTAACAAAAAATAAGAACCACATAAAGATCATCATAACAGTATTGGAAAATGGAAAGTTTTAGGATAAATTGGGGCAAATTCATACACTGAAAAAATAGTAGTAAATCATTGTAATATTGAAGCTATCTATCTCTTTACGTAACAGAAAATTTTCATGCCATGATGCTGACTTTAAAATAAATTGCAGGATGGTATGTGAGACTGGTTCCATTAAATCATACATGAATATTTTCAGGCAAAGATTTCATATGCTTCCTTAAACATGATATTAGTTACAAAATGGTAACATAGAGTATGATTGATCTGAAGGGCAAACTTCATGTTAGACTTGTCAAAAACCTAAAGTTGACTCTTTCTCTGGAGAAAATGATCAGGATTCCTGAGTTTTTTTTTACATACATGGAATAATACTTTCATACATGTTCCAAGCCACACTGTTTTCAATGGAGACATGTGGAAGCACCTGACTTATAAATTTGAGAAGAAGCAAGATACAGGATCTCCTGTTGCTGCTCTGATGAATTCAGTGGGAGTGGAGGATATCCAGATGAACCTTCTCTATTCCCTTCTGCCCTCAAGCAAAGTCTAGTTGGCTAGCAACTGGATAACCACAGGAGAGTATGTGACGTAGAATTTTTGGAAGCCCAACATTGGCTCATGATGGAAATGTAGTTCAATTGATAAAAAACTGGACAATACAAAGAATAAGCCAGATAAAAGTCATTTGCATACTCATGATACATTCAGAGGGGTTTTATTCCTGAATATCTTCAGCATGCCTTCCAACAAAGTATCATTAAAA